GATCACACTGATTTTGCATCTTTCATTCTATTTGATAGAGACTGTGTTGCTTTGTTGGGCATGAGTGCTGCGGATTTACGTGAGCAGCATTTCAAAAGGGTTTGTGTTCTTATTTCACTCATTTTTTTATTCATTAAAGTTCTTATTAAAATTCATTAATATTTTTTTTGCAGGGTGATGATTTCGAGCACTATCCTAAGGAACTTAATGTTCTTATTGATAAATCCATGTTGTTTAAAGTGAATGTGAAAAAAAATAATTTGGACTCATACAGTGAGCCTAGGTATCAGATTTCTAAAGTATGTATAAGCGAATCTGTAATCACATCCTTCCTTAAGACTGTTGTGGATAAGAATGTGAGTTATTTTTTTATTAACATTATTATTTCTATTTAGGTTTTGCTGTTCTCATTCTGCGTTTCAATGGATTTGATTTTTTTCAAAATATTTGTTTTAAATGCAGGATGAAGGATTATTTGACAAGGCTTGCGACAGTGTCGTTGCATCAGCAGAACCGGAAAGAGCTACGGTATCTCGAAATTATTGCTTATGAATTAATCAAAAAAATGTTGCATGCAATTTTATTGAAAAACATAAGTTAATTTCAAACAATATTTGTTTCTGACAAGGATGTGGAAAGTCAGACGTGTGATAGTGCAGACGTTGGTGATATTTCGCTATCAATGCTGACGCCGTTAATGAATCCGTATGATCCCCTTCAAGACGATTTTAATTCATCAGTTGTCTGTCCTCCTAAGAAGATTAAGCTAGAGAAAGAGTTGAGTACTTACCCATTATTTTTTTCTTTGTGTAGCTTTTTTTTTATAATCGTGAGTGTGATGTGTCTGTTAATACGTCGTTATTTTTTTGTTTCTGTTTAGATTTGATGCTGTTCTGAAAGACGCGTAGCTGGAACAATGTCACTTGGAAGCTGGAACAACGTCACTTGAAAGTTTTTTGTTTTGGAGATTGTTTGGGATTGAACAATATAATTGTAGTTTTTTATTGCTGTGTTTTGGTAATCACTTCCTCCGTGTTTAACTTCAAATAGAAGCGTTCCTGTAGACAAAGTAATGTTTGTGCACATTCTCGAATACAAGTTTATCTGTTTGTCATTAGTTATTTTCCACAATATTTTCAATTGTATTATTGCAATGATAAATATGTGGTTAATCCGGTAATTGGATAATCAGTTGTTTAATAAGTTTCAAAATTCGAAATTTTAATTGTATAATCAGTTGATTTAATTGCTTTTTATGTTGGAATGCGTCATCTGATCTAAAATTCGAAATTTGAAATGGTTTAAAATTTTGAATTTAAATATGGATGGTGGGAAAAAAATTTCTTTTAAAAATCGAATTTTTATTTTTTAAATCAAATAATTTAACCACCATTTGTGGTGGCAAACAAGGCATTGAATGTCCCACTGCCCATCACATTGGTATCCAAAAAGAAATCAGCTGTTTTAATTGCTTTTTATGTTGAAATTGGTCATCTGATCTAAAATTCGAAATTTGAAATGGTTTAAAATTTTGAATTTAAATATGGATGGTTGGAAAATAATTTCTTTTAAAAATCAAATTTTTATTTTTAAATCGAATAATTAAACGACCATTTGTGGTAGCAGACATAAAAGAATAATTAATTTTTTTTTTGGTAACAAAAGAATAATTAATTAATAAATATGGTTTTGAAATTCAAGATTTTAATTGGATAATCAGGTGTTTTAATTGTTTTTTATGTTGGAATTGGTTGTCTGATCTGAAATTCGAAATTTGAAATGGTTTAAAAATTTTAATTTAAATATGGATGGTGGGAAAAGAATATCTTTTAAAAATAGAATTTTAATCTTTAAATCGAATAATTTAATGACCATTTGTGGTAGCAGTCAAGGTATTTAATGTCCCACTGCCCATCACATTGGTATCCAAAAAGAAAACAGCTTTTTTAATTGCTTTTTATGTTGAAATTGGTCATCTCATCTGAAATTCAAAATTTTAAATGGTTTATCAATTAAATTTCGAAATTATGTATTTATTTTGCACAATCTGAAATTCGAAATTTTAAATTCAATAAAAAGAAAAATCTTTTCACGGACATGCATTCACGATCTCTATTCATGGAGATCATTAGAAATAAAGACAAATTTCACAATTGTTGAAGACCTGATTGTCATTCAATTCACAATTTTGTTATGGTTATTTTTTAAATAATATATACACAACAATGATATAACAAAGACATTATCTTTGTTGTATATTTGATTCAAATATTATAACAATCAAGAATCAAGAGAGCTGAAAGACAAAATAAATTAGATAATCAGGTGTTTTAATTGCTTTTTATGTTGGAATTGGTCGTCTGATCTGAAATTCGAAATTTGAAATGGTTTAAAATTTTGAATTTAAATATGGATGGTGGGAAAAGAATTTTTTTTTAAAATTGAATTTTTATTTTTAAATTGAATAATTAAATGACCGCTTGTGGTGACAGATATAAAAGAATAATTAATTAATAAATATGATTTTGAAATTTGAAATTTTAATTGGATAATCAAGTGTTTTAATTGCTTTTTATGTTGGAATTGGTCGTCTGATCTGAAATTCAAAATTTGAAATGGTTTAAAATTTTGAATTTAAATATGGATGGTGGGAAAAGAAATTCTTTTAAAAATCAAATTTTAATCTTTAAATCGAATAATTAAATTTTTTCCTCACCAACTTTGTCTTTGTTAATCCTTTTTTTTGTATTTTTCAATTTTTTCCAGATGCTTTGCTTACAGAGGATTTTATAAAAAACATAACCCTGGCAGAAATCGATAAGGTGTTGCAAAGCAACGGTAAATGCCTTTCTGATTACCCATCCATGCCGAGCATCTTGGGTGAATCTTTATTGGATATGCAGAATAGATTGGTGATGGATAAATTGTTGTATGACAGTTTCTCTTTGAAAGAAGAGCATGACAGACTACTGAATTCACTCACTGACGAGCAAAGGGTTGTTTATGACAAAATAATTTCAGTTGTTTCGGCAGGTAAAGGAGGATTTTTTTTCCTGTACAGCTTTGGTAGGACTGGAAAAACATTTATTTGGAACACCCTGTGAGCATTTGTTCGATCTCGAGCTGAAATAGTGCTTAATGTTGCTTCTAGCGAAATTGCTTCACTTCTTCTTCCTGGAGGACGTACGGCACATTCTAGATTTCGTATTCCTATACAGATCACCGAAGATTCAACATGTAATATAAAACAAAATTCTACTTTGGCAGAGTTGTTGTCAAAAACAAAGTTATCATTTGGGATGAAGCACCGATGGTACACAAATTTTGCTTTGAGGCTCTTGATAGAACACTTAGAGATGTTCTTAGCTGTGTTGATATGCCCTTTGGTGGAAAAGTTGTCGTTCTAGGAGGTGACTTTCGGCAAATATTACCTGACATTCCAAATGGCAGTAGACAAGATATAGTTCATGCAACCATCAATTCTTCCTATCTATGGTCCCATTATCATCTGTTATCTTTGACCAAGAACATGTGTCTCAATTCTGGAAGTAGCACTAATAATTTGTTGGAAATAAAAGAATTTTCTGAGTGGCTGCTTAAAATAGGAGATGGTGATCTTGGAGATGATGTTGATGGAGAATCTATTATAACAATTCCAGATGAATTGTTGATCAAAGGTTCAGAAGACCCAATTTCAGATATTGTTGATTTTGTTTACCCGAATTTGATGGATAATATATTAGATCCTACTTTCTTTAAAGAACGTGCTCTTCTGACTCCTAAATTGTCCGATGTTGCCATGTTAAACGAGCACCTAATGGCTGTGATTCCGGGTGAAGAAAGGACATTATTGAGTTCAGATAAGGTTTTGAAACAAGACGGTAATTCATCTCTTGAGGATGACGAAATCTCCCCTGATATCTTAAATACATTCTCATGTTCGGGGATTCCTGATCATAAATTAACTTTGAAGGTTAAAGTATCGGTGATGCTATTGAGAAATATTGATCAATCAAGAGGTTTATGCAACGGTACGAGATTACTTATTACAAAGTTGGGGAATCATGTTGTTGAGGCAATTGTTCTTACAAGAAACAATATAGGAGATACTGTGTTAATCCCTAGAATGACGATCAGCCCATCGGGTCATACATTTCCAGTAAACTTTCAAAGAAGACAATTCCCCTTGGTAGTTTCGTTTGCGATGACTATCAACAAAAGTCAAGGACAGTCGCTGTCTCATGTTGGCATTTATCTTCCTAGGTCTGTCTTCACTCATGGGCAATTATATGTGGCACTATCTAGAGTAAAGAGCAGACATGGATTGAAGATGCTGATACTTGATGAAAATGGTTGCGTTACAAATACTACCTTTAACATCGTCTACAAGGAAGTATTTCAAATATTAGTGTAGTATACTTGGTTATTTCTACAAAGAGATAACATTGTTGTTTGGTATCAGGTAAGATCTCAATTTTTTATCAGAAAATATTTTTTAATCTTCTTTGTTGATTTCCTTTAGTTGTTATGCCTATTTTTCTGCTAATTTTTTATTGTTATGCAGATTCAGTATTCGAGGCACAATCAGTATATTATTCCCTTGTCATTTTTCAGAGTCAAAGGTTTTTCATTGTAATTCTGAATTATTCATCTGCCTAAACTATATAATTCCCTTCAATATTTTTTTCTTTTCCAAATATTGTTTATATATTGTTTATGATTCATTTCGAACAACAGCAAATACCAATAGTGCATGGCGGACGATATTTTACAACTGTTGTGAGTATCGGTTGGGCATATTTCTTATTATATTGCTGTCAACATGACATTTATATTTTTTTAATGGAGATTTTGTTGTCAACCATGGAATTTACTGTGTTTAAATTATTATATTCTTTTTTTTGTTCCTACCTTAAAAGTTACACGTTTATGTCATACGAACAAACCGATTTTCTTATTAATTCGTTTACGGGACAAACAAACCGATTTTTTTTTCTCTGTGCATCGCACGGGAAATCAACTAGTTTTACTTTCTAAACAGAAACTTTTTTCACCCGCTTTTATTTATTTTTTTCTTTTGACATACACAGGATTTTTGCTTGGTTTACTTGGGCCTGAAAAATTAGGAATCTTTGGATGCTTTCCATTTGAAGTTGAATGGATGTGCATAATTTATCGGTGTATTGGATTGAAATTTCAAAGGATTTTAATGGATTATTTTTGGACAAAAAAATCTGTTGGTATTCGATTAGGATTTTAATGGATTGAAAAAAGTCATGTGATATTCGATTAGGATTTTAAAGGATTATTTTAGAATCTGTCCAAATCCGTTGGTATTCAATCAGGATTTTAAACAATGGAATCACAATCTCGTGGTATTCAAAAATCCGACGATTTTAATAGATTTTTTATTGGTGTGGATTTCGTGAGACTTTTTAGAGAAAAATATAAATAGGATGTCTCTCCCACAATCTCACCCTAACCCCTATGATTTCTTGATCTCACCCTAACCTCTATGATTTCTTGAGATTCTTCTATTGCAGTGTTTTCTTCTTCATTTGGCCGGTTGACATTGCTTGAAATTGGGTTTCACAATGGGAGCTTCGTCAAAACTACAAAAAAAGCATATTTTTTAGCGATTTTCATCACAAAACAACCCAGAAACAACGAACCAACGAGATTTTAATATAATCTATCTAAAAAATAACATATTTTTTAGCCATTTTTTAGAAATTTTGGAAGTTTAAAAAGCGATTTTTCAAGTTATGGGTCGCGGTTTCTCTTGGCACAAAAATGCGTGATTTTTGTATTAAAAACAACATAAAACAGTGAAAAAATAACAACCAATTTTCGTTTTACATCAATGAAACAATATCAATATTGAAACTTTGATAATATGAATACTATATTTCGTAACAATACATTCATGAACGAAATTCTTTCATTATAGGAAACAATTTCAATTTTGTTTTGTGTCAATAGATAACTAAAAGCTTGTTTCTCAAAAACCCGAAGGCAATTTAAGGTTTCAATGTATCAATTGAAAAAAATTTGAGAAATTTTCTAAACTTTCATGTAATTAAACCCAAAATTTCAAATTCGAAATTTTCTTAGAATATTCAATGAAAATATGCATATGATATATGGTTAGAAAACTCTCAACACGTAAAACAAAAAACCCCAAGGTTTTCAAGATCAATTGCAAAAAATTCCAAACCAAATTTTATCATGAACTTTAGGTTCTATATGCAAATTTAGAATTATTTTTATAATTAAAAAAATTGGATCTTATAATCATATATGCATAGCTTTGATACCAAATGAAGACGATAATTTTCAACCCATTAGATATGTGAAAAGCTGTTGTTTAGTAATTTTTAATGTTTGTTAAAAATTATATTATGTTTTACTGATTGAAAAAATTATATTAGGTTTTACTTTTTTTGCATTTCTTTGTTATTTTTTATGGGAAAGATTATACTTACAACTTATTTTTGTTTATAACATTTTATAGCCATATCTTAACCATTGATTTTCGTCAATCAACGATTATTATTTTCTCAAATCAAACTCATTAATTAATATTTAATTTGCAATGAATGATAACCGTTGATTGACGGAAATCAAGGGTTAAGATATGGTTGTAAATAAAAAAAGGTTGTAAGTATAACCTTTTTCTTTTTTATTGAATCTTGTAATTTTGAATGTTTGTTAAAAATTCATATGATTTTTTAAAATCTTATAAATACATATTGTTCTTTCAAATCTTATAAATTCTATTAAAATCCTTTAAAATCAAATCTTACGAAATCTTGATTTAAAAAAAGTCTTTTAAAAAATTCTTTAAAGTCTCTCCAATTCTAAATAGTCTTTTAAAATCTTTAAGATTTTTTAGCTCAAAAAAGTCTTTTAAAATCCTAATCCAATACACCCCCTTACTTTTTTAAAAAAAATATGAAGAACCAATTGAAAATAGGTTTAAAATTTTTAAAGTTACTTTAAATAATTTTACTTAATGTTTATCAAAATACATTCATAAAAGTATATGGAAATCAAATTTTCTTTTTCTTTCTCTTTTTTTCATATGGACCGCACACACTTTTTTTATATGTATTTTGCTGAACAATAGTAAACTTTTGAAATAATAGAATATTTTGAAATAATAAAGTTTGAAATTGAAATGTCTTAACAAGTCTCTGACCTACGTCATTTACTCAATCCTTGTGCAAGTCAAGGAAATCTTTCTTTCTATATGATTGGCAGCAAAAACTGAAATCCAATGACAGAGGGACAATGTTAGACGGCAATGATATTGAACAAGTTTTGCATGTATCATTGTTTCATTCAACGAAAGAAATATATTCCCTTTGTTGTTTTTGTCAAATGTTGTATAGAGAAAAACACCATCAGGCTGGAAACCAAGATTAGTGTCTTTGTTGAATAGTTTCAATTTTTTAAAAGCTACTGGACCACAAGGAAGGTCTGTATCGACGATTGAGTTTCCATTTATAATTTTCAAGAGAGATTACAAATGTATTGTAGCATTCTTAATGGAAATCAGATATTACAATTTAAAGCCATAGTTATTACTTCTTGTGCATGTTTTTCTTACACTATCCGAATGCCATTGTAGCTACTAAAGCTGTTTTTGGAAAATACATTTGGTACTACCGTCGCACTCAGTACTTTGTACTATTCCCGTTCAAAGTAAAATTACAAACTATGTATGCATAAGTATAGTTTTTTGTTTTCTCTTTTAGGAAGTATATCAGTATAGGTGTTGTGTTTTTATTGGACGGGCATAGGTAATATGGTAGTGGATTAGAAATTTCGCTGTTTTGGATTGTTAAATCGATGGATCTGCTTCCCCGTGTCGATCAAATCAACCAGGAACATCTAGAACTTTTACATGGTTCTTTTCTATATTTCCAAAGAGATGTCCTGTCCTAGTGTACTGTAATTGAACCTTGTGATATCCTTTACACCTTGTTAATATATATGTAGTCAATTATGAAAAACCAGGCACTACAAAACTTTTTTTCCTCCTATTATACATACTTTAATGAGACAGGAATTTATTTGAGTATGGCATTCCCATTAAATTCAACTAGGATATGAATGAAGGGTTTTATAAGAGTAATGTTGTAGGAAAAATGATTGTGTAATGTTATAGAGATTCGTTTTGCGAGCCGTAATTTATTTTTCTTTTTTCTTTTTTCTTCAAAAAGTGTGGGTCCCACAAAATGTTATGTGTGTAGAAAAATTTATTGTGTCATGTTAAATGACAAATGCAAATTCCATTAATGAATGGCTGAAAACTTGTTGCAATAACATTTATTTGTAACTGAAGCTAAAATCTTGGATTGCTCTTGGCCATGGGCTGACCCACAATAATGGGCTAAAGTTAAGTTGGTTTGGGAAGGGCTAGTCGCAAACAGATAAAGCCTATCAGCTTGGTGGGCATAGACCTGGGCTAGACTAGATTAACAGTTGGATATATAAAAATTAACAAACAACGTATCTTTATATTTTATATGGATAAGCTATCAATTTAAGTCAACTATCAAGTATTTGAGGCGTTTTAAATTTAAGTATGATTGCGGAGCTGTGTGGTGAGCACAGGGCGAAATATTATTTCTCCTTTTACTAAAAAACAAAAAAAAAGCAAAAAAAAGTATGATTTAAAAAGTATAAAATACAAAAATATTAAAAGTTATAAAATGTATATGCATAATTATTCAGGTAGAATTAAAAAATGTAAATTAAAAGAAAAAAATTTAAAATTATAAAGGAAATATACATAATTAATTTAAAACAATTTGAATTCAAAATTAAATAGAAGAGAATTTAAGAATGACATATATTAATTTTTAAAGAAAAGTAGATTAAAAGACTAAGTCACTCAGTAAATAATTATTCATATAGGAGTATAACACTCAAAATTTAAGAAAAAGAGAGAGTAAAATTTAATGAAAAAATAAAATGTTGAAATGAATTTATTTAAGAAAATAAACAGCTGAAACTCAAGGAGAAAGATATAAAATTATAACGTAAGAAGAAACATTTAAAATTAATTATTTTGAGAACATATTAGAAAGAAAACAAAAAATTTAGCTTAAAAACTTGTAAGTTTATTAAAAAACATTTTGAAAAACGTCAAAAATTAAAGGTTCAATTAAATTTTTAGCCCTTCTATTATGTTTAATATGACATGTTGGGCTCTCAATAAATTTTTGCTCAAATTCAATTTTGGACTCTCTACTTGAAACCTCCAAATTTTATTTTCCTACTCGGATAATCGGGGGATTTGTTATGAATTTTTTTAAAAGAAATTATGTGAATGATTCATGATATGAAATTTGTGCATAGTTATATGTACCACACGATACGATACAATTCATGTAAAGCTTAGTCACTTGTAGTATCAATGATTGGTCCCATAAATCGACACAAGATTTTTCAGTGTGCTTTGTTCTCACTTGCACATTCTCTCAGAAACTTTTCAAAAGGTCACCTATCCCAGAATTGCTCTAAGTCAAGCACATCTAATTATGAAGTTATTAAGATACTGGGCTATCACATTTGCTTTTCTTGATGATATCGAAGTTCAAAATCATAATCTGACTTTGGCTTGGA